CACGTGGACCAGTTAAAGCGAACAGTTGAGACGGTTTTTCCGGGTCCGATGTTTCTAAACTATATTCTATTTTTTACGCTCTAGAAACTTTATACTATTTCTACGCGTTAACGCGTACGTATACATTCATCTACTGGCTAATTAGCGTTAGATTGACGTCCAACGCGGCGCGATGAAATTCGCCGAGCAGAGACGCGACTTTCGACGTTAATTGTAATACAATTCAGATCACGAATTGTTCTCTCGTATCAGCTGGTTCGTTTATCTCTTGCAGCTTCCAACTATCTACCGAAAATATGTTTCTCTCTGAGGTTAACAAACGTAGTCGTTGAAAGAAACCAAAACAACGCATCCCAATGGAATGGTATTCCGCAGAATTTCACAAATTTTCCGAATGAACGAACCGAAACTGTGACAGTTCCACGTGCGCGAAATTCCAGCGTGTACCGAAACAAAGAGAGGAACGCGGGGAAAAAGCGTGGCCGCTTTCACGAGAGATCAATTCGCGAACAACCAGTTCATTCTTCGTTTCCCTTTGCTTAATGTTGTTCGAGCTACTCTTCTGAAAGAAGCGAGCCAAACAGAACAGAGACATAGAACACTTCCAATAGTTCAAACTTCTTCGTCATTTTCTCTTATCGAACGTCTCTTTCCTCGTTTCTTCGTCGAAACTGAAACAGGAGAAATTTCCTTCGAAAAGACAAATCTCCTCGTTTTCTCTGTCGATAACGAAACAGGAGAAATTTCCTTCGAAAAGACAAATCTCCTCGTTTTCTCTGTCGATAACGAAACAGGAGAAATTTCCTTCGAAAAGACAAATTTCCTCGTTTTCTCTGTCGATAACGAAACAGGAGAAATTTCCTTCGAAAAGACAAATTTCCTTGTTTTCTCTGTCGATAACGAAACAGGAGAAATTTCCTTCGAAAAAACAAATTTCCTCGGTTTCTCTGTCGATAATGAAGCAGGAGAGATCTCGTTCGAGAAGAAATTTCACTCGCTTCGAATTTCGAGAGTAGACCATTTTTTCCCCTCTCTCTCTTATCTGAAACTTCTCTCGTCTTTTTTCACGGTTTTCGTGTTTTCTTTATCAAAGGGGCGAACACGAGACAATACCTCGGGCTGGAGTCCATCTCCGTTGTGTCGGTGATAAGGTTGCTGCGTGTAGGCCTGATGATTCGGTCCTGTGTTGGCGGAGTTGACGGAAGCGGAGTTCAAGTTGTGGGGCATCTCGCGCGTGAAAAGTGTGCGCGGAGGCTGGGGTCAGCTCCCCCGTATCCCGACTATCTCCTCATACACCATGCTGCTGGTAGCCACCATTTATCATGCCAGGCTCTGCACATTTTCAACGTAATTCATCCTTGTATTCGTGTATTAGGATCGTTCGTGGAAAAAAATTTCAACAGTCCTCTGTTCTCTATTCTCTATCTCGACAATTCTCTAATATGAAAACCGAAGGACGTTCGTGGTACACAGGAGGATTCTTATTAACTCTGAAATCAACGAAGATTTTATACTGCAAAGAGAAGGCAGCTTCTTAATTTGATAAAATTGAATTGTAGGTAGCATTGGAAAAAAATGAAAAAGCTAGGTTAAAATTTCACGTTTTTTTTTCAGGGGAGAAGCAAGAGTGAATTATTACAAAAAAATTTTAACAATACAATGCATCATAACTAATACAATATTTTTAATAAAATTTAATAATTTTGCAATTCAAGATTTTTTAATATTCACTATTATTTCAGCTATATTTTTGTAAATTTAATTTGTCAAAATCCTCGTTCTTCAAGTGATTCTGACAATTAGAAAATTGAGTAAGGACATCGACTCGTTTAACTCTTTGAAGCACAGAATTTTAAGACAAAAATAGACTCTAGTTGCACGGGAATTTTATTTGACAAAAATGTAACAAAGTAGGTGTGAATTACGACGTAGAACAACTAAAACTGAACAAAAAATGTTGAGATAATTAATTATTAGGTGGGACATAAATAATCTTAATGTTTCAAGGTGGGATGAGAAAGTAAGTACTAAAAAGATGAGACACTTTTTACCCCACTATGCCCTAAAGAGTTAAACCAGAATATTTTTTAGTTGCCTATTCCATTTCACGAAAATTATTCCTGAAAAATTAGGAAAAGCTTCGGTATACATATACATACAGAGACAAAAACAGGTACATGGACACGTAAGATCCAAGTCACGTGGCGTTACAAAGGGTTATGGGCAACTTTTGTAATAATATCTTCTGTGAATCGCGTGTACGCAGTGTTTAGTAGGATTTTTACCAGTGGAATAAAAATGAACGTAGAGGGACAAGAGAAGGCGAACACGATGATCCGGCACGGGATATGGGAGCTTCGACTGAATGCAGACTCCCATTAACCGATTATACCCCATTAAACGATTAACATTCTGAGCATTCCAGTTCTTGCTCGGTCTCTGGCCGGCATGTGCATCGAATAAAATCTACTTTTACGTGGAACACACATTATTCCGTGTTACACGGGCTTTTCGTTCACGGAATTCGCCTTATTTTCCCCCATCGATGATTTTTTCCCTCGAAGTGTCTATAGGAACATTTCTCTTAAATTGATTTCAATTTAATCGATTTACTTTTAAACGACCCCCTTTATTACGCTTTTGCGTGATCCACAGACACTGCTTAAAAAAGGAAAAAGCAGTTTAGAAAATTCGATCTTATCCTAACCTATAACAACGAGCGAGACTCGTGGCAGAGATTCTGGTGAAGATGCGAGAAAAATAGTTATATTAGTAAGAAGAATTAATTGTAATACTAACTTTCGTTTTAATTTGTAAATCTGAGGATTATTAAATGTAATTAATTTGTAACGAATTAGATTTTGTTGTCTAAGTACTGAAACAGTAAATGACCGAGGTTAAGATGCATGATCAGAAAAAAATTATAGGTTAAGGGGTTAAGAACGATCATTTTACGTATTAACACTAGAACAACCAGAAATGAATCTGGTAACTTTTGTCTCTACTGGTATATTTAAATAAGACTATATGTACTTTGTCCAGTTTGGTGGAGAATATCGTTTAAATGCAATGGAAGTTTACCTGTGTTTTTCTGAATTTCAAAAATTCAGGCAGAATTGTAAATATTATACTGTCTCGCAACGTAAATTTAAGTAAATCAGGTTGAACTGCACAGAAAAAACAAACGGACGCAGCATAACGTGTAGTTATAATTGTTATGACATGTAAATAGAACGATAAATTTAGTGCAAATATAGAAAACGTATAATATAATTTATTTCATGGTATTGTAACAAGCAAACGTTGAATAAATTCCTAATTCGTATTAAAAAAATTATTTAACACAATAATTTCAGCTTTATTATGATTATTCTTGATAAATGACCACAGGTCAACTTGATTTTCAATCGTTATAGTCTTTAAATTCAGTGTGAATAGAGAAAATGTGTAATATAATTCATTTCACGATATTATAACAAACAAACATTGAATACATTTTTATGTAACGATAGAAATTATTGCAATAATGCGTAATGCAATTGAAAAATTGAAAGAATCAAAAGAAAAAACGCGAATTC